CATTGTTGTTTGGCAGGTCCGGGCTGGGGATTCGAACCCGCCACCTTAGGTGTACGTGGCTGGCGCCTTAGCTGGTTGAGTTATAGGCGCCGAGCCTATGTACAAAGTCTTAATCAGGATAAGCTAATTGTTCTAACCGATGGCCCCCACATACTTCACACCACAAAGGTTTATATCTAGGTGCTGTCAGGGGCTTAACCTCCTTTTCCTCCTGTCCTTGCCATCTTTTGGGACTCCAGCCTTTGCTTTTCTTGGTGGTTTTCTCCATCCATATGCCTAAATAATGCTGTTCTGTGTGACATGTGCTGATGCTAGCAGCTTAACCCCACTGCTGTCACAGTGAATATGCCACAGTGTAAGTGCGCATTCTGATGCTGGGCATTTGGGTGGTCTTAGCATTTTGCTATTATTACATCTTCACTGCTGTTTGAAATGTTCTTATTTGCCTCTTATGAGCACATGAGCAAAAGTTTCTCTTGGGCACTGTTTGCATACTGGAGGGCAGTCATCTTTGGGTCATAAAATGACTAGCATTTTCCTTTTTAAGTAAATGAAATGGAGTTAAATAGAGATAAAACAAAAAAAATTAGCTTGTTAGTATGCTTTATACATGAGAGGGTTTCATGGTTTGTTTCCTTCTGTACATATGTGTGTGTGTATTGAGTCCTGATAGGAAATGTATTTCCTTCCATGGGTCATAGTGGGGAAAAAAAAGCATAAAAGCCACTTCTCTGGAGTATATACCTAGGAGAGGAATTGCTGGGTCATGCATACTCAACTTGATAAAATCAGCACCAGATTATTTACCAAAGTCATCAAGCTATCAACTGAGACTCAACCCCGCAGTAGCTGAGAGCATTCCAAAGGACACAGTCTCGTTCTCTGTCTCCTGTGAGCCATGGCTCTCTGCTCTTTCCCCATCTTCCAAGGCCCCCATTCTCCAGGAGGTGTATCCGTTCACCTCTTGAGGTGCCAGCTGCCACCCTTATGGAGACTGTGTCACCCTATGTAGTCTTGCACAAAGCTCCCCATCTCTGCTGTGTTCTGCAGTACACATGCCCTGGTCCCCTGGGTACACACTGACTTCTTCTCTTCTGCCAGGAAGAACGGCTGAAGCTCCCAATTCTCTCTGAAGAGCAAGTGATTATGGAGGCTGTGGCTGAGCACCCCGTTGTCATCGTGTGTGGTGAGACTGGCAGTGGGAAGACCACGCAGGTGCCCCAATTTCTCTATGAGGCAGGCTACAGCAGGTAGGGGTCACTGTGGGTCCCTCAGTGACAGCACAGATCCCTGGTCCCCAAATCCCAGGGATCTGGTCCTGTCTGTACCCTCAGACATCAGATAAGCCACTTAACCTCCTTGGGCCTCAGTGTCTTCATCTGTGAAATGGGGATGATACTAGCTCCTACTTCAAAGGATTATGTGGATTAATGAGTGGGCTTGCACAAAACTCTTAGATCAATTCTTGGCTCAGAGAGTGATGTGTTAGCTATTGTCACCATGTGGCTTCCTGAATGTGTCTGAGTCCCCAGGACTCACTGTGGAGTCATGCTCACAGCTGTGATTTACTATAGGGAAAGGACATGGGATGCAATCATTGGAGGGAAAAGTACCTAGGGTGGCTCCAGGGGACTAGGCCCAAGTTTCTGGAATCTTCTCCTAGTAGATTCTCAGAGGACACTCTTGATTCCCCTGGTAACTAGTTGTCACAACATATTTAGGATGTCATCCACCAAGGAAGCATGTCAAGGCACTGGGTTTTATTTGGGTCACTTAAGCCCGCTCTGTGTGGCAGAAACCAAAATCCCAGATGCCTAAAGGAAAGCAGATGTTTGGCATAAACTATGTATGAACAGCCCAGCCAGAGTGAGCCCCAGCAGGAGAGGACCCTCCCAGACCAAGTTCAGATGCCCACCAACAGCCCCACCCACCAGCAGCCTTTCTTGGGAGGGCGGCCTCAGGCCTGTCGACAGTCATGCAGAGCTGGGAACCAGCCATCACCCCCAGTCATTGAGAGACCTGCCTGGGCAATATAGTAAGAGCCCATCTCTAGAACAAATGTTTTTTACAAATTAGCCAAGCATGGTAGTACCCACCTGTAGTCCCAGCTATGCAAGAGTCTGAGGCAGGAGCATCATTTGAGCCCAGGAGTTCAAGGTTACAGAGAGCTATGATCAGGCCACTGTAGTTCAGCCTGGACACAGAGTGACACTATCTCTAAAAAAACAAACAAAAGTATCTTAAACAGTACATAGGCAAACTAAATACTAACTAAAGACTCTTGTAAATTTAAATTTTCTTAATATTTCTTAACATCGATGTGGTTCAGAAATCAAAAATTATAAATCCATTTGTAGTGAGGCAAGATTTTCTTCCCCTGCCCCAGCTACTCTGTACCCCTTACCTTCCCTCCCTCTAGCATGCCATAAATCCATTTTTTATACATCTTTTCTGGGATATTCTGTGTTTCTCTTTCTCTTTTTTTCTGAATTACTGGCATGTTCAACATGTTATTCTGCACTTTGCTTTTTTTTCCAATTCACTTCTGAGTTTTGAAATGATTTTAGATGATAGAAGAGTTGCAGAGATAGTCCAGACAGTTCCAGTCCTTCCTTGCCTATTGTACGCTGGTGTTCGCAGTTGTCATAGCTAAGGAACCCTCACTGGGACATCACTGTCATCCAAACTCAGGCTTTCTTTGCATTTCTCTAGTCCGACCCCTGGCATCCTTTTTCTATACAGGTAGGTACTGCCATGCCTGACTAATTCGTAAAAAACATTTATTCTAGAGATGGGGTCTTACTATATTGCCCAGACAGGTCTCTCAATGACCTGTCTCTGCCCTCCCCAGAAAGGCACTATGAATGTCCACCCAACAAACACCCAAAGTGTGGGGGCATTTGGGCTTTGTCCCTCACTATTAAAAGCTGGGCAAGGTGGTTCATACCTGTAATCCTAGCACTCTGGGAGGCTGAGACAGGTGGATTGCTTGAGCTCAGGAGTTTGAGACCAACCTGAGCAAGAGTGAGACCACGTATCTACTAAAAATAGAAAAAACTAACCAAGCATTAGTTTTGGGCACCTATAGTTCCACCTACTCAGGAGGCTGAGGCAGGAGGATCACTTGAGCCCAAGTTTGAGGTTGCTGTGAGCTATAACACCACAGCACTCTACACAGGGTGACAGAGTGAAACTCTGTCTCAGAAAAGTGATGCTGCTTGGGACTGTCCATTTCCTAAGTCCTGTAGCCCCTGGGCCAGGGCTGAGTCAAGGCAGTAAATCCTGCTGTGAGATGTGGGGTAGACGGGGGGCCAAGCACTGCTGATGTGTCCTATTCTTCCTCTCCCAGTGACAACAGCATCATCGGCGTCACAGAGCCCCGCCGAGTGGCCGCAGTGGCCATGTCCCAGCGAGTGGCCAAAGAGATGAACCTGTCACAGCGGTGAGGGTTGTGCCTCCCATGAAGGGATCGTTGGGTGGTGCTGTATCCTTTGCCCAGAGACAGCTGTGATTTACTTGTCATCTGCCGAGGAGGGAGCAAGCAACACCCATGATGAAGGGCTGTGAGAGAGTATTACCCCTGCATCAGAGTGCTGAGGATAGCCAAGCAGAGGTTTCCTGTGTGCCCAGCAGGAAGCAGCAGGGCAAGGATGAAACTAACCAGGACCTCAGTTCACATCAGGCGACCCTGTTGCATCTGAACTCTCCCTCACCACAATCGTTTAAAAGCCGGTCTCAGATGTCTTATTGAATCCTCAGTGTTTGTGTAGGTCTGAAGGATAAGGCTTTTTCTTTTTTAAGACAAAGACTCTTTGAAACACAGTTGTGATGCTCTTAATGTAGCTGATGAGTATGTAGTATCCCCTGATGTTGGGTCCATGTGTAAGTCTCTCTGGTGTCAATATGACCTACAACTTTTGTACAGTCACTTGTTTAAACCTTGTGTCCAGCTGGCCTGGCTCCTTGGTCAGCAGTAATGGCTCCCTCACCCTTTTCTCTAGAGACCAGGGTTTTGGAGGTGATATCAGCTTAGGGAGGTATCTGGGTCTTGCTTGGGGTCGCTGGTTGGGGCTGTCCACCCAGTGGGGGCACTCTGCCCCACTGCTACCCTTGGATTGGCCCTGTGGTCGTAGCCCTATCTGGCCAGTGCTCTGGAGACCCACCTGTCCTGAGCTGAGGTCCATCTTTACAGGGTCGTCTCCTACCAGATCCGGTATGAAGGAAATGTGACTGAAGACACCAGAATCAAGTTCATGACAGATGGTGTGTTGCTCAAAGAAATCCAGAAGGTTAGTTTTTGGTCTTATGTCACAAAGCAAGACCAGTGAGGATGGGGCTGGAGCATTAGAGTGTCAGCCATGATGTCAGTAGCCAATGTGCCACTGTGTGACTTTGGGCAAGTTACTTAACCTCTCTGAGCTCAAATTTTTTTTTTTTTTTTGAGACAGTCTTACTACGTCACTCTTGGTAGAGTGCCATGGAGTCGCAGCTTACAGTAACCTCAAACTCTTGGGCTTAAGTGAGTCTCAGCTTCCCAGGTACCTAGGACTACAGATGCCCGCCACAACACCAGGCTATTTTTTGGTTGTAATTGTCATTGTTGTTTGGCAGGCCCAGGCTGGGTTCAAAACCATCAGCCCTTGTGTATGTGGCACCACTGAGCTATAGGCCCTCTCTATGTCGCCCTCGGTAGAGTGCCATGGCATCATAGCTCACAGCAACCTCAAACTCTTTAGGCTTAAGTAGTATTCTTGCCTCAACTTCCCAAGTAGCTGGGACTACAGGCACCCACCATAATGCCTGGCTATGTTGTTGTTGTTACAGTTGTCATTGTTGTTTTAGTTGGCTTTGGCCGGGTTCGAACCCTCCAGCCTCAGTGTACGTTGCTGACGCTGTAACCACTGTGTACAGGCACCAAACTGAGCTCAGTTTCTTGACTAGCACACTGGGGCCTTCCTCATGGGATCATTATGGTGCAGAAGTCATACAATGCATAAGAGTAGATTGTACAATGCCCAGTATCTAGTAGGTGCTCATTAAATAATAGAGTTTCCCCCAGGCCAAGTGTGCAGGGTCTGTGCCAGCTACCAAGGAGCCTCTCAAGTGGAAGTTTTGGTACATGAAGAGACTGGGGGGCTCGGGCCTGGGAAGTAGACCTCACCCGCTGCCCTCCACCCCCCAGGACTTCCTGCTGCTGAGGTACAAGGTGGTGATCATCGACGAAGCCCACGAGAGGAGCGTGTACACGGACATCCTCATTGGCCTCCTGTCCCGCATTGTGTCCCTCCGGGCAAAGGTAATGCAGGAGGTGGGAGATGCTGAGGAGTCCTTGACCCAGGTCCCTCTGTACCCCAGGCTACTGCTGTGAGAGTGTTACCTTCAGACAGGGTCCCCTGGGCCCAGGTCCAGGTCCCATGCTAGGGCTATATGACTCCTCTCCCAAGGAGCATCCTTCTTTCCATCCAAAAGCTAGAGGCTCAAGTAGGGAGCTGATGCTTGGCCAGGTTTGGGGATCCATGGGCCCAGCCACCCCTTATGCTCCCTGCAGTCTGAGATGGGCTCCCCAGAACCCGATACCAGCCTCTCCCACTACCCACCACCAAGCAAAGGGCTGTAGCCTCCCCAACCACCCCCTAGACCAGGCAAAAGTGGGTGACAAGCCTATTGGGTGGAGGGGTAGCGTCCTGTCCTGATCCTCCTGGTGAGGAGAGAGGCCAGTGCCCCGGGTGTGCTTTGTGCCAGGTCACTCCAGGTCCAGGAGCTGACAACAAAGGAAATGCCATCTTATCCCAGCACTTCCACCCTCCTGGGGCTTCCATGACTCAGACAGAGCCAGACGGGGTGCAGGGGGTGGCAAGGAGGGTCATTGAAGACCTCAGGGGAAGGGGATTGTGAACAGAGAGCTGAAGGGGTGAGGAGCCTTCCTGGGGAGGGGAGAGGAGGTGCAGAAGGCCCAGGGAGGGTGGTGTCTGCCTACTATCTGTCTGCTTGTTTCCTTGGTAACAAGTTGCACTGAGAAATTATTCCTGTACCATGTCAGTGACCCATTCAAAGTGTAGAGTTGAGTGGATTTTTATACATTCGCACAGTTGTCCAGCCGCATTTTCATCACCCCAGAAAGAAACCCTGCACCCATTACCTGTCACCCTCCCATCTCTAGCTAACCGGGAGCCTACTTCCTGTCTATGGATGTGTCTGTTCTGGACCTTTCATGTAAGGAATCATGTGCTCTGACTTTTCGTGCTTCCATTCAGCATCATGTTTTCAAGGGTCATCCATGTGTGGAGCGAATCAGAGCACACTTCCTCTGCACAGACAGGACACATTTTATTTTTCCATCTATCACTGTATAGACATGTGGGAATCTCCACTGGCTGGCTGCTGTGAGTGTTATGCAGGTCTCTGTGTAGACATGTTTCTTTCTTTCTGGGTATAGACAGACTCAGGAGTGGAACTGCTGGTGAATGCACCTGACCCTTAGAGCCCCTTGCCAGACTGTTCTCTGTGGCAGTGGCAAAGCAACCTTTGCTGTCTGTCCCCCCCAGCAGGGCGGGAGGTCCCAGTTTCCATGTCCTGGCCAATACGTGTTACTTTCTTATTCTAGCCATGCTCATAGATGTGGGGTATTAGTCTTCTCGAGGTCTTGGTGTATGTCTTCTGGGGAATATTGGGGTGCCTAGCATGCTGTCCAGAAAGTGAAGCCATGAGGGCACACAGGCTACAGGTAGAGATGGTTGTCATGGGACCCAAGCAGCCCTGTGATTGGGGCTGTGCTTCTGACCTTCCCTTTCACCCAATATTTTTTAGCTTTTGAGTTTGGGGTTCACTAGCAGCAAAAGGCAGCCTGGGCTTGGGCAGAGCCCAAGAGGCCCATCAGCACTGAGTGGGCTGGGACCAGGGAACCCCACATGCACCCAAGGAATCTGGCTGTTCCTCCCTGGACCCCAGGGACAGATGGACATCAGTGGGAGCTAATGAAGGCTACACATGCTGTGCCTTTGGATCAGGGGCCCCATCTCAGCCGTCCAGCCTCACATTCTACTATCAACCTGACTAATGACTGGAAAGACCCCCTTGAGCAAGCCACTGCCCTTGGAGAGGCAGATCTTACTGTCAGCTCATTCCTTCTAAGGGGTCTTGGCAATCAGGAAGGGGGCAGAGGTGATGCTGCAGGGAAGCAGAACCCCTACCCCACCCTGTCATCACTTTCCTGGCGTTACCTGGTCACAAGGCCTGTCCTCCACAGAGGCACCTACCACTGAAGCTGCTCATCATGTCGGCCACACTGCGGGTGGAGGACTTCACCCAGAACCAGCGGCTCTTTGCTCAGCCTCCACCAGTCATCAAGGTAATGCCCAGGCAAGAGTCCCAGCCCTATCTGTGAGCCTCGGTGGTACAGGGATGCCTAGGTGTTGGGGTGGCTCCCAGGAGAGCTCACTTTGTCATGTGAGGATTGACAGTGTGTTGAGAGGCATGAAAACCTCAACTTGGAAAGATCTAAAAAAGGGAGGGATCCTGGGCCAAAGCTCTCCTCCCTACCCCTGCCCCTCATGCCTTCACCTCCGTGGGCATCTTATAGGTTGAATCCAGGCAGTTCCCGGTGACAGTACATTTTAACAAAAGGACGCCACTGGAAGACTACAGTGGCGAGTGCTTCCGGAAGGTCTGTAAGATCCACAGGATGTTGCCTGCAGGTGAGGCCTTGGCCAGAGGGAAGGGGAGAGGAATATCTCCTGCTCTGAACCCACACATGATGGCAATACAGGCAGAGGGAGCCCAGGTTCTTGGCTGGTCTCGCAGCGGTACAGAATAGTGCCTTGTCGCTCTGTGCCCCAGTTTCCTCACTGGTTCCACAGTGTTCGCAGCACCTGCCCTGCCTTATTCTTCCCAAAACCCTGTGCAGTTTCTGTGATTAACTAGAGAATGGAGTTTGCCTTCTGCCACAGGGCCCAGGCAGGAGCCGGTGGGCACAGGTGTCCCAGGCATGGGACAGGTGAACAGGTGCATCTGCCTGAGGTCTTCCATGTGCCCACGACACTTACTTAGTTACTTACCAGATGTTGTTATTTCAGTTGACCCAGGCAGGCAGAGTGGCTCATGCCTGTAATCCTAGTACCCTGGGAAGCCAAGGCGGGTAGATTGCCTGAGCAACAGTGAGACCACATCTCTAAAAAGAGCCAGGCATTGTGGCGGGCACCTGTAGTCCCAGCTACTCAGGAGGCTGAGGCAAGAAGATCACTTGAGCCCAAGAGTTTGAGGTTACAGTGAGCTTTGACACCATGGCACTCTACCGAGGGTAACAAAATGAGATTGTGTCTCAAATAAATAAATAAATTGACTTGACCTTCACTGGGCAAATAGATTGTAACTTCTAGTTGGAGACTCTTGTCTTCCAAAGCCAGGCCAAGGCTGGCGTTCTGTGTTAGAAAGGCAAAGAGCATTAGCTGCTTCTGCCAGGTTGGACCTTGTCCCTTGAGGAAGCTGAGATTCACTGCTCCATGATGCTCTGTCCTTGGCCCACTTAATGCATCTCAGTGTCCTAAGCATCATGGCCACTCTGGGAGATTGCGCACTGGTAAGAGGCTAGGTGGGGACTTGGACAGCAAGCCTCCCACGGCCTTGGGCAGGGGCAGTGTTCTTGTGTATGTACCAGTGTCCATCTGGCCACCCATTCTCAGTGCCAGGTCATGTGATCACTGTATGTCAAACCCACTCCTTGCAGCACGATCAGTCTGGGAAGAACTGCTTCTCACTTGTCCATGTCTATGACACCCTGGACTCTCAGGGCTTGGAAGGTGCTTGTTGCTAAGGAAATGCTTGCTAAGTGACTGGCAGATGACCGAGGGGCCTGGTTCTCTCCGCAGGTGGCATCCTGGTGTTTCTGACAGGACAGGCTGAGGTGCATGCACTGTGTCGCAGGCTTAGGAAGGCCTTCCCACCTTCTAGGGCCTGGCCACAAGGTAAACAGCTCCCAGATGTTCATGACTGCACTGGCCCCTGGGCAGCCAGACCTGGGCTTTACCTGCCTTCACCTCCTCACCTGCTTTACCTACCTTCACCTCCCCACCCCTCGGATAAATAACCTTGCTCTAGACAACAAAAAGCATAGTGCTGGCAGCCAGCGCAGACCACAGGTGCCTTTCTCCCCAATCTGTGCACCATCCCAGAAAAAGAAGATGAGAAAGACTCAGTAGAAGAAATGCGGAAGTTTAAGAAGTCTCGGGCAAGGGCCAAGAAGGCGAGGGCTGAGGTATGTGGAGGGCTCATGGGGGTGGTTCGGGCTATCCAGTTGCACTTTCCAGGATGATGGCCAATAGCCCATGTGGCTGCTTAGTTTTAATTGTAATTGGAATAAAATTAATCTCAATAATCCAGTGGTACCTCATGGCTTGTAATTCTAGCACTCTGGGAGGCCAAGGTGAATGGATCACTTGAGCTCAGGTGGATCCCTTGAGTCAAGGAGTTTGAGATCAGCCTGAGCAAGAGCAAGACCCCATCTCTACTAAAAATAGAAAAACTAGGCTCAGCGCCTGTGGCTCAAGTGGCTAAGACGCCAGCCACATACACCTAAGGTGGTGGGTTCGAATCCAGCCCGGGCCTGCCAAACAATAATGATGGCTGCAACCAAAAAATACCCGGGCATTGTGGCGGGCACCTGTGGTCCCAGCTACTTGGGAGGCTGAGGCAGGAGACTTGCTTGAGCCTAGGAGTGGGAGGTTGCTGTGAGCTGTGATGTCATGGCACTCTACCCAGGGGACAGCTTGAGGCTCTGTCTCAAAAAAAAAGGAAAGAAAGAAAAACTAGCCAGGCTTTGGCAGGCACCTGTAGTTTCCACTACTCAGAGGCTAAGGCAGGAGGATCACTTAAGCCCAGGAATTTGAACAGCGGTTCTCAAACTTCTTAATGCTGTGGCCCTTTAATATAGTTCACGACCCACAGGTTGAGAACCTCTGACCTAGAGAGACCTTGTCTCCCAAAAAAAAAAATAAATAAATAAAATTCAGTTTCTCAGTCACCCCAGACCCAGTAGGGTGCTGATAGCCGTATTGGACAGTGCAGGTCAGCGACACTCCCCCACAGAAAGGAGCTCTGCCGAACAGTGCAGCGGGGGAGGCTGCAGGGTGGGTGATGATTTGAAACACATTCAGATGAAGCTTCTGGAAGGCTAAGCCCTGAGCACTTGTTTAGAGCCTGCAAGGAACCCCAGCAGGGCTAGCAGACTCTAAATGCTTGCTGAAGAAGCAGGACAGTCCAGAGTATAAGGACAGGCTGGGCCAGCAGGGCCCGGCCCAGGGTGTCTACTGATGGTGGTACAGATTGGTAGTTGCTCTCTGAAGCTCCTGTCACACTAACAGGGGTTCCAGGCATCATGGGTTCTTTCCATGTGCTGGCTGACAATCTTCCCAACAGCCCATGAGATAAGTGTAAGTCTTGTGATAGTCCCCAGTTTTTAGGTGAGGAAACTAAGGCAAAAGGAGGTTAAGTGGCCTGCCCTAGGACCTGTGGCCTGTGGGTGGTAGAGGCGGGCTTCTGCACAATTGGGTTTGTTTTCCTGCACATGACATGTCTTCACATCTGGGGTCTCCTGCAGCCATGGTGTTGGTGTCTTGTTGACCCTAGGCATTGCCCCAGATCAACTTGGACCATTACTCTGTGCTGCCAGCGGGCGAAGGTGATGAGGACCGAGAGGCAGAAATGGACGATGAAGAAGGCACCTTGGGTTCTGACCTGGATCTGGACCTGGGGGATGACGGGGCAGACGGAGGTATGGCTCTGATGGGGCTCTAGGCCCCTACATTTCTTGGGTTCATTTCCTCACCCCCACCACAGTCCAGGCCCTGGGGAGACAGCCACGAAGAAATGAAATTTCTGCCCTTGAGGATGTGCTGAGAGCCCCTCTGTCTCTTGCTGCAGTGTGAGCCCCACAGGAGCTGGGTTATGGCCATTCTGCTGTGGTGCTCTCAGATACTTGCTGTGTTGAGCATAATAGGGACCCTGGAGGCTTGCCCAGCTCTAGTGAGCACTTGCTGAAGCCCTATGTACAGAGGAGTCCTGCTATGTCCAGCCCAGGGTCATGTGGAGCAGCTAAGGGCAGCCCATACAGGCTCAGTCTGCCCCCCTCCAGTGATGTTGCTAGGACACATGGGGCGGGGCTGGGCCTAGGCTCTCCCAGGAAGGAGACTCTGTAGCATGGTAGGATTTTGGATCTGGATCAGGGCAGTAGAGACATGAGAGCCTTTAGGAGCCTCTTGATGGACCCTCAGCCTTGGCGCATCTGCTGGCTGGCTGAGGGTGGAGCCCCTGGCAGGGGGCTGGTATAGGGACCTCTCTGGCAGAGCAGGGTTTTGGGCAGCCGAGGCTCCTGCCTGTGGGCATCTGTTCCAACAGGGGTGACAGCGACCCCTCCTTTCCGTCTAGGTGAGCAGCCCAACACCTCTCTCCCCCTCCACGTGCTCCCGCTCTACTCCCTGCTGGCCCCTGAGAAGCAGGCACAGGTAACCATGCTGGTGCTTTGGAGCACCTCCTAAGGGCACGGCAGTGGGGTCTGGCCAAGCCCTGGGTCATCCTCCCCGTTCACTGTTTGTCCAACACTAGCACATTTTTGAGAGAATATCAGGGTCTTGTTGAAGGTCAGAAACCCTTCTAGTGTGTATACCCAAGAACACTGTGGCCTGGGCAGGAAATGGCTTCACCTTTCTCCCTCCCGGTCCATCCCACTGACCAGCTGTGCCCCTGCCCTACAATTTTATCCTGAACCTGGGATGTTCTGGCCACTTCTCCCCTCAATCCTAGGTCTTCAAGCCTCCCCCAGAGGGGACACGGCTATGTGTTATAGCCACCAACGTGGCTGAAACATCCCTGACCATCCCCGGTATCAAGTATGTGGTAGACTGTGGGAAGGTCAAGAAGCGCTACTATGACCGCGTCACTGGTGTGTCCTCCTTCCGTGTCACTTGGGTCTCCCAGGCATCAGCTGACCAGCGGGCAGGTCGGGCAGGCCGGACAGAGCCCGGCCATTGCTACAGGTGGGTTACCCTGGGCTCCTTCTGGCAACAGTGGGCAGGAAAGGCCAGCTGTCCCCTCCGCCCTTTCCTTGCTGGCTCTCAGGTGCTCATTGTTATTTTATTCTGCTACTTTTGTTCTGGTCTTTTTGGCTACTTTTTTTTTGCTAACAGCTTAATCGAAATATCATATGCCATAAAACAGATCATTTTGAAATGTGTAATTCTGTGGTTTTTTGTGTATCCCCAGAGTTGTGGGCCACTATGATGAAAATGTTCTAAAATACTAAAATTCACTGAAAGTTTCTACTTCATTTTTTTTTCTTTTTTTCGAGACAGTGTCTCACTATGTCACCCTCGGTGGAGTGCGGTGAAATCACAGCTCACAGCAACCTCCAACTCTAGGGCTTAGGCAATTCTCTTACCTCAGCATTCTCTTACCTCAGCCTCCTGAGTAGCTGGGGCTACAGGGGCCCACCACAACACCCGGCTATTTATTTTTTTTGTTGTTGTTGTTGCAGGTTTGCTGGGGTCGGGTTTGAACCCACCACCTTCGGTATATGGGGCCAGCAACCTGCCCACTGAGCCACAGGTGCTGCCCCACAGTTGTCATTGTTTTGGCTGGCCTGGGCTGGTTTTGAACCCACCAGCCTCAGTGCAAGTGGCTAACGCCGTAACCTATGGGCACCGAGCACTTTACAGCCTTTGGAGTATAACTTTTGGCACTTAGCATAATGGGTTTTCATGGTTCATCTGTGTTGGAGCACGAGTCCGCCCTTCATTCTTTCAGGTGGCCGGATAATCTTCCACTGTCTTGTTTGTCCATTCATTAGACGGTCGACAGTTGGGCAGTTTCTGCCTTTTTGCTGTCGTGCGTGGCGCTGTCCTGGAAACTCATGTACAAGTATTTGTTAGACAATTCATTTTTATTTTTCATACCTAGGTGGGGAATTGCAGGGTCACATGATAGCTCTGGGTTTAACTTTTGAGGAACTGCCAAACCATTTTCAGGGCTGCTGTACCATTTTACATTTTCTCCCGCAGCGAATGAGGGTTTAATTTCTCTGCGTCAACATTGCTTACTGTTTTCAGTATGTTGTGCTTTTGGTTTCCATATCCTGTATGCCCAGTAATACTGAGCATCTTTTCTCATGCTTTTTGACCATTTACGTATATTCTTGGAGAACGGTCTGTTCAGATCGTTTACCCATTTTTAATTAGATTATTTGTCTTTTGTTGATTTGTGAGAGTTCTTCCTGTAATCTGGATGTTAGATTCTTCTTAGATGTGTCATTGGCGAATATTTCCTCCCAGGCTGTGTGCTGTTATTTTTTTTTTTTTTTTTTTTGAGATGGAGCCTCAAGCTATCCCCCTGGGTAGAGTGCCATGGCATCACGCTCACAGCAACC